ACATTCCCCTAAAATTCCAGTCTTATAGCTTCTCAGGTTTCCCGAAAAAACTTTAGCGGGCCCGTATGCGGGTACCACGCGGGTAAGAATGCCCATTTCTGGGGACAGCGGCCCGTACGTGCATGTAGATTAAGTTCCTAAAGTTTAGCCCTGTAGCTTGATAAAGAAAATTGGTGCAGACGCACACACACAGACACACACATACGTACAGAAAACCCTTCGTCAATATGCATTTTCTGCGCTGCACAGACGGAAAAAAATGCATAATAAAGGTCTTCGTCAAATGAGTGGCGTACAGGATATCAGTACGGTCATGCAAGAAAGTCTGATGTGCACGACATATCGCTCACTTTGCCAACGACCAGTGGATGCCTCGCAGTACTTGTGTGTTATCCTCGGCTGCATAATTTTAGCAACTGCTGCCTGTTCGAAGCTTGTGTGGTCAACTACTTGGGCGGCCAAAGAAACGCTGAGCAGGCAGTGGATACTGAGGATATGTAGCCCAAGATCGAAGGGCCAGCCATGGCCACACCAACGTATGGGAACATTCCAGCAACATCACCAACATGGGATCCCTACACCGACTGTTCGAGTGCTCTTGTGACTAAGAATCCATTACTTGTTGTAGACAAACTATTAACCGGAACCAAATATAAAATCTACTTCTTCATTTTTTGATTTCACTGTTTTGTAAGCAGCATAACTGAGTCAAAGAACCTCCCGCACACACTTTTTCGTAGAAAGAGACCAAATTGAAAGTCGTACCTTCAAAAGAGTGTACCTTCCGCTCATACTTGATTCTCCAGACTCCCTGATCATTCGTTCATTCTGACTGACCGGAGCATACTGCCCATTTGGAGGATGCCATTGCGTTCTGCATGGGCTGAACATAACAATTTCTTCTTTTCAGTGCAAAATATCATGCCAAATAAACATGGGTGAAAATGAGAAAAAGCTGCCATCGTCTTTCCGATAATAACCTGTCGTGAAGCTAACAGGCACTGCGCATCCGTCAGTCTAATCGCTGTACAACAAATGCGGACATCAAAGGGGAACTGCTGCTGGTCACATGGATTTAAGCACCACAAGAGGCTATGTGAAATACGTTTTGTCAGAAAGTTTCCTTAAAAGTAAAGAATGCGCAAAATCCATCAATTTTGCGCGATAATAACCCAGTATTCCTTCTTAATAATTACTTAACAGTGACCAGTTACTGCGTTTTTAAAAACAATAGTTTTGAACAACTAATTAAAAT